CAGTTGCTGGTAGTGGCTCTCCCAAAGGGCATGCAGATGTATTCCTTTGCATTCAAAGCACAACTGCAAAGGACTCTTAGGGCCCTTCCACGCAGCCCTATATCCCAGAATATCAAGGCAGAAAATCCCACAATATCTGTTTTGAACTGGGTTATCTCAGATAATGTGGGATTTTCTGCCTTGATATTCTGTGATATAGAGCTGTGCAAAAGGGCCCTCGGCTTCTAGGAACAAAAGTCCCTGGACAGCTACCTGGAGCTTGGAAGGAAGGCTTTAGAAGCAGCCTCCGTACCTGTAGCATGCAACTTTGAAAGAAATATAATAGAGCATCTGCCTTGCAGTAATACACTAGTGAATAACATATTGCTCTTCAAATAAACAACTTCAAATGTATAAATAAACAATGAATAACAAATTGGTTTCTTAAAATAATATTCCAACTCTCCACCTGTGTTATGTCATCATTTCATAGGTGTATTTTACTCTGCCTGTTTTCTTTTTAATGCCCCGCAAACAAATTCTCCTTATGCACCGTAACAATTAAAACATGCAAAAATGCAACAAAAATCCAAAACCAGTTTTAAAAAAGCACAAACCTGACTTGAGTCCCTACCAGCATAATACCTTAGATTACAAAATATAACTAACTGGTGAACCCACCAGTCAATGGGCAGGTGATCTTGTTCATTTCCCTTATAGTGTGTCCGAGTAAGAGGACTGCTGGCATCTTTCATGTCACATGTTTGTGTCAGTGGCGTCATACATGGTTGCCTGGGAGGATGCATAATTAAGGCTTGGTTAATTGTGGTTGTCTTTGCTGGAGGGCTGTTGAGAAGCTGGCTGGAAATTTTACCTCTTAGCTACACACTCTCAATTGGACTGGAAACATTGTTTTTTTTACCCATATATATATATATATATATATATATATATATATATATGGCTGATGACATTCACTAAAGAGAGCGAATCGCCTTTGTGGCACTGACAAACGAGCTCTGGCGAGACGGAATGATAACAGCCAGGCTCTTATGGGAAGAGGGCCGCGTGCTGTCATTGGGAAATGAATGAATGACTTTTCCATTTCCCATTGATTCAGGAGGGACACGTGTCGCATGGTAATGACCCGCGGTAGGGGATGGCAGGAGCTCAATTGATTGTCATTTGGGTGGTGACCAGGTGGAAGATGATATTTATAACTCATTGGGGCATGCAGAGTTTTAGCATGCAAAGAGGTTTGGATGTAGAAGTCCTTTTTTTCAGTAGGCTTTCTTTTATTAATTTTGCAAAACACATCCACCGTTTTAAAAAAATCCATTACAGACATAATCTATGCAGACCATCACATGAATAGATATCCTCATACAAAAGGTTATCTGCCTATTGCTCAAACTGGCAGCTATTGATTAGTTCAGATTTTAAAAAAAAAATGGTGTATTTTGTGGTTTCATGCTATTGTTTTGAGGGCCAGTCATAGGGATGAGAGAGTGAGATTGTTTTCTGTTGCCCTAGAGACTAGGTTGTAGAACAATGGCTGCAAACTACAGGAAAGGAGATTCCACCTGAACATTAGGAAGAACTTCCTAACTGTGAGAGCTGTTCAGCAGTGGAACTCTCTGTCCCGTAGTGTGGTGGAGGCTCCTCCTTTGGAGGCTTTCAAACAGAGGCTGGATGGCCATCTGTCAAGGGTGCTTTTAATGCAATTTTCATGCTTCTTGGCAGGGGGTTGGACTGGATGACCCACGAGATCTCTTCCAACTCTAGGAATCTATTATTCTACTTTCATGAAGATCTTGCGACCCCAAACCCAGTTGAGAGTTGAGTTGAGAACTGGGAGCTGGCGGGAGAAGAAGTGTTTTTGAAACTAGGTTTTCAGGGAGAGAGTGTCTGTGTCAGACAGGGGCTAATTAGCTGACAGGAAAGGTCAGGCAGCAACTTGATTTCTTGTGGGAGATAACACAAGAGATTAGCTCTCTAAGCTGAGTTAGTTAGCAGGAAGAACTCTGGGGAGAGTTAGCTGATAACTCAGGGGACTACCTAGGATAGGTTAGTCAGAAATTCATTACTATTTCTCTGAAGTAGGGTGAGGAATTTTTGTTACTAGCAGCTAGATCTGTTTGATTAGCTCTGTATGTAACTAATTGAAGAAACTCATTCTAGCAACCATCAAGCTAAAGTATTTTTGTAACAGGTCAAGCGTTTTGTACCTCTCAGAAGTAGTTAGTTGTCTGTTTTTATAAATAAATCTTTTTCTATTTAACTTTCAAAAAAGGTCTCTATCATCCCTCAATCCATCATTAATCCTTTGTGATAATTCCAGCATCTGCAACATCCTGACAGTACAGAAAGGCCTCTTATCCAAACAGTCATTCTGGGAGCTAGGGGAAGACTAGTGTTGGCAGAAGTGGGAAAAGTTTACCTCAAAAACTCATTTTAAAAATCCTAAGGCAACTTGGGTTGGTGGCAGCTTTAAACCAAAAGAAGACTAAAAGACAAGCAGTGTTCACTCTACCATTACACACATCTATATACATCTCACTACCAAATTGGAGGCATGAGTAGGATTTTTGAGGAAAAAGTGAATCTTTGGGGGAAGAACCATCCTGCCCAGACATATTATCAATAAGCCTCCAGCCTCGTGTCACTGGTTGTGATATCTCCTTCGTACTGGTGTCCAGTGGTGTGACATTACGTATAATCCTTTACAGTGGTGATCAGCTGAGGGATATATTATAGTATATACGTTATAATTGGTGCCAGTGGCGGGATTGATATCGCGTATTCATTTATAGTGGTGGCAGCGGCACGATATATATTGATATTTGGTGTTAGATTATATGGGGATCCTTTATAGATGGCTATATCATTGGAGGGAATTTGGAAGGATTACTGTATTGTTGGTTCTAGCAAGCACTGGGTTTATTGATTATTTTTAATTGAATTCCTTTCCTATTATAATTAGTATGTGTTGCAGAGTATTCATAGTGTTTTCTCATTTAAGAGGTCTGAAAAATAGGTTTGGTGGTCTGGTAGTGTGACCTTGTGAATAAGCTTTATGGCGAGCGAGGCACATCAGTTTGGATTGCCATATCCAAATGCAACATGCTGGCTCTGTGTGGAAATAGCATGAATACACACACTTGCAGAAGATAAATGACTCTGGTGTTGTGGGTGCTTAGTGTCAGAGTGATAAATTCCAGCTGGAGGTGGAAATGGAAGGACATGCATCCCAGTCGATCAACCTTTCACCCTGTCTAATTTATTTGTTCATTCTTTCATTTAGCTGTATTGTACAACAGTGTTCATGGCATGCAAGACATGCAAGAGGACGGATCATTTCCCCTAAGGAGCTTACAGGCTGAAGTTCAAAGGAGGAGAATATATGCCATGATTTCCATTACATGGTCTTGGACTTGTTTACAGGTTAAGACTAGGGCGTTGGAACCAAAAGGTTATGCCCATAAAGATTTTGGAAAGGATTTGAACGAAGTCAGGAGAATGGCATCACACAGGTGCTCTGGGAGGCAGTCCAACAAGGATGAAGGACAGGCATGTGTGAAATCATGGTTTTGGACCCTGGAGCTCGTGGTGGGATTCTGGGAGATGTATTTATTAATTATTTATTATTTACAGTATTTATATTCTGCCCTTTTCACCCCACAGGGGACTCAAGACAGATTATAATGCACATATACATGGCAAACATTCAGTGCCATTAGACATACAACATAGTCCAAAAGAGTGAAGTATGGCTTATGCTCTCAGAAACAACAGAAACAAGGGTAGGGACACTACAGAAGAGAAGGGGAGGGCTTTTGAATGAGACAAGAAATCAGATCAGATGTAAGAAAGTAGTCTTCAGCCACTTCACCCCAAAACAAAACAAAAAAGACCCAATACGTATCTGTATTTTAAACTGAAAATACTGTGAACATTACAAAAGGTTGGTTTTGGAGCCAAAGTACTGAATGGAGTTAAGATGATGGAAGATGAGAGAGGGGAAGATTACGGTAGTTGAGAGATGGCCAACATGTTGAAGATCAGTGTGTTTTAAGCTGATGTGCCAGAGAGGATGGTCTTTATTTTTGCAGGGTTACAGACACCTTTGGGTGCATCTACACTGTAGAATTAATGCAGGTTGATATCACTTTAACTGCCATGGCTCAGTTCTATGCAACCATAGAATTTGTCATTTGAGCACCCTTTTGGTAGAGAAGGCAAATACTTTGCTCAATTCCAATTACCATGATTCCATAGCACTGCTCTGTGGTAACAAAATGGTGTGAAACGGCTATAATTCTGCAATGTGGATGCATTCTTGGTGACTTATTGAATATTTGGGAACTGAAGTTGACCAAGTTGGTGTTTTGAGATGTTGAATGAAAGTGAAGCCTTACTGATAGATTTTATTCCCAGAGTTCTCATAGCTTTGTCTGAATTCCTTGTAAGTTCAAAAGAGCTAAAACAGCCATTTTTTAATTTTATTAATGCTATTATTTTTTCTTTCTCCCTCTATCCCCACACCATCCTATCCTATATAACTTCCCCCCTCATTTAACTATTTAGTTTATTCATTTATGAAAAAAATCTCAATAATTATTTTTGAAAAAAGAACTAAAACAGCCATGTGCTTTTTTTTGGTCGTGTCAGGAGCGACTTGAGAAACTGCAAGTCGCTTCTGGTGTGAGAGAATTGACCGTCTGCAAGGACATTGCCCAGGGGATGCCTGGATGTTTTTGATGTTTTATCATCCTTATAGGAGGCTTCTCTCATGTCCCCGCATGAGGAGCTGGAGTTGATAGAGGGAGCTCATCCGCACTCTCCCTGGATTCGAACCTGCAACCTGTCAGTCTTCAGTCCTGCCAGCACAGGGGTTTAACCCACTGTGCCACCGGGGTCCTACATTGGGCGTTTCAAATATTTAAGCACTCTCATCCAGTCATCCATGATGTTGCTTGTCCCCTGGCAACGACTTGACTTCTCTTTCTTTCCCTCCTCAGGTCTGATTATCCACGAGGGCTCCTCGGTGTATCGAATATTCAAGCGCTGGCAGGCGGTGAACCAGCAGTGGAAGGTGCTGAACTACGACAAGGCCAAGGACCTGGGGGAGCCCCTTGGTGGGAGCACAAAGCCCGGCGGGCGGAATTCACGGACGAACCCTTCCTCAGGGAGTGAGCGGACCTCCCAGCGGGGCCAGCGGGTTAGGACTATTTTGAACCATCACTGTGGCTACACGATTCTGCACATTCTCAGCCACCTGCGGCCAAACGAACATCGCGGGGGCTCCGGCTCCAGCCGCGAGGTTGTCATGAGGGTGACGACTGTATAATAACAGCCTACGGGGCCTTTGCCGAGCGGGAGAGGCCCCACGGCGCCCAGGGAAGGAAGAAGCCCGTTTCTTCCCTTCTGCCCAGACTCCGTTTTGAGCCCCTACGGGGTTGGCCACACGCTGTATACTATCCGACGCAGGAGGTCCCTGGATCGGTGATGTTGCCGCAGACCCCGCCGCCCGCCTCTTCCTCATTGTGCGTGGGGAGTGCCTCAACTGGGTTGCACCTTCCTTCCCTCCCATCAATGTGAATTATTTTTTCCCCTCTCCATCCAGGCTTGTGGTGAAAGGAGAGACCCCCCTCCTCCCAGCTCGCCTTGTTATGACTAGATTCCTTGGAAGCGTGACGGGGTTTTATTTATTTGGGTTTTTTTAAAAAGCCCCTTCTTAGGGGTCCTTCTGGATGCGTTATGGTGCCAACTGGCCCAGAAATTTGAAAACATTTTTACCTCATCTTTCGATGGAAATTCTGCCAGATGACCCATGCCTTTCCACCCATCCCATTGGTTTCTCTCTGCCCAGGAGACGCCAACCAGAGAAATTTTGAACTTTTACCCATCCAAAAAAAAATTATGGTGCAATAAACATGTTTCTTAAAGCAAAACGGCATTTCGCAATAAGATACCTGTACACTTCGTCTTTAATTTCATGCATGAAAATTAGTTTTCTTCTTGCCCTTTCCAGTGTTTTCTCTCTCCTGAGGAAGGAGAAATAATCATTTCTATACTACAAATAGGTGTCTTTCAACTGCATTGTGAAGTTTCCTTTAAGAAAAACAATTCAAGTCAATTAGAAGAGTTATTTTGAGTCCCCTGGTGGCAGTGTACTGCCACATAATCCAATTCGAAGCGGATGATCTGCATTTTATGTGGCAGTGTAGATGGGGCCTGGGTCCTTGATTTCTTCATTTGCTGCAAATTGAACTAAGTGCAAATGTAGTTTGCCTAACTCAGGCTCTGTCTGCACTGCCATTTAATCTGGTTTCTGAATCCAAATTATCTCTGCTTCGAACTGGATTCTATGAGTCTACACTACCAGATAATCTGGGATGAGAAGATAATCTGGGATCAAATCCTGGGAAACAGGACAATGTAGGGGATCAGTGTAGAGGAGCCCTCAGTGGGCTAAACCACTGAGCTGCTGAACTTGTTGACCAAAAGGTTGGCAGTTCTAATCCAGGGAGCTGTGTGAGCTCCTGCTGTTAGGCCCAACTTCTGCCAACCTAGCAGTTTGAAAACATGCAAATGTGAGTTGATAAATAGGTACTGCTTCTGCAGGAAGATAATGGCACTCCACGCAGTCATACTGGCCGTGTGACCTTGGAGGCATCTATGGAAAACGCTGGTTCTTTGGTTTAGAAATGGAGGTGAGCACCACCCCCCAGAGTGAGACTCAATTAGACTTCATGTCAACCTTTACCTTTTATCAATGGTATATTTAGAGTTGAGTAACTTTCTGAAGTCTAAGAATGCCCATCTGAATTTGGAGGCCCATAACTTTTTTTAAAAGAATTTATTATGACCTTATCTTAGTTTTTTATTGGCAAAATGTATTAATCAGAGGAGGTTTGCCATTGTCATTGCCTTCCTTTGAGGTTTAAAGAGTGTCACTTGTCCAAGTAACCCAGTGGGTTTCCATGGCTTAGTAAGGATTCAAACTCTGGTATCCCAGAGCCTCGGGCCCTATCTATCTTGCCATACAAAAACTGTATTATGTGGCAGTGTAAAATGGGGCCTCTGTCCAGCACTCAAACCTCTGTGCCATGCTGGTTCACACCTTTCCCAAGATGCAGGTCTTGAACATGATGGGGCACAACAGACACATTCCCACTCCTCTTCTCCTTTCCTTTTTCCTTTTCCCCTTCCTTTCTTGGGGCTGAGATCCATTTTTCCCACCCCAGCATTTGAAATTCTGATTGGGAGAATTTCTGTAGCAGTAAGAACACTTATCTTAAATTAAAATACTTTGGGGGGGAGGGGGGGAATAAGGCTGCCAGACTTTGTCCCTTTAGTTGAGAGTAAACTTTTGCTTATGCTTTAGCATCTGTAAGACTGGACTGTACAACCTTATCTATACAAAGTTTTACTATAGTTTAATTTAAACTTAAGATACATTGATAGCCCGATTGTGATACTTTGTCAACTTGGAAGGAAATCTCTTTAAATTCAGCATTTCAGGAACAGCATGTGGGATTCCAGGCTTAATAGCCACAGACATTTAATTACCGTACCATCTTTTCCCTTCTGTTCCGTATGAGAGTGTAAGGAAGAGTGGCCACAATGATCAAACTTCCTTCTAAACACATAATCCCAATAGCCTTGCCTCTCCTCTCCCTTATTTCCATATTTCCATTATAGAAAAGCATAGGGATTCCAAGCTAATTTCTATTATTTTTATGTTCAGTTATTTAAAACAACAGCAACACAGTAATGTTTACTTCTAGTATTTCATGATCCAAAGATAACATTATCAAATCTGCGTGTGCTGTTTCCAAAATCCTCCAAATTCTTTGAAACTATGAAACTTAGAAGCATCTGTGCAAAGTTGGCACGGCCTGTATGTATTTTAGACACAGACTACACATCCAGCCTTTCCTTTCTGCTTGGGGAATTATTTACACACTGGGATGCAGATTCTGCAACCTGAAAGCATTTGTGCAAATTAAGCATACTACACAAATAATTTGGTGATATGGTCATAGAATCACAGAATTGTAGAGTTGGAAGAGACCTCGTGGGCCATCCAGTCCAACCTCCTGCCAAGAAGCAGGAAAATCGCATTCAAAGCTCCCCCGACAGATGACCATCCAGCCTCTGCTTAAAAGCCTCCAAAGAAGGAGCCTCCGCCATACTCCGGGGCAGGGAGTTCCACTGATGAACAGCTCTCATAGTCAGGAAGTTCTTCCTAATGTTCAGGTGGAATCTCCTTTCCTGTAGTTTGAAGCCATTGTTCCATGCCCTAGTCTCCAAGGCAGCAAAAAACAAGCCTGCTCCCTCCTCCCTATGACTTCCTCTCATATATTTATACATGGCCATCATGTGTCCTCTCAGCCTTCTCTTCTGCAGGCTAAACATGACCAGCTCTTTAAGCCGCTCCTCATAGGGCTTGTTCTCCAGACCCTTGATCATTTTAGTCACCCTCCTTTGGACACATTCCAACTTGTCAACATCTTCCTTTGATTGTGATACCCAGAATTGGACACAGTGTGATTCCAGGTGTGGTCTGACCAAGGCAGAATAGATGGGTAGCATGACTTCCCTGGATCTAGACACTAGACTACTATTGATGCAGGCCAAAATCCCATTGGCTTTTTAAGCTGTTGCATGACATTGTTGGCTCATGTTTAACTTGTTGTCCACAAGGACTCTAAGACCTTTTTCACACATACTGCTGTCGAGCCAGACGTCCCCCATTCTATATCTTTGCATTTCACTTTTTCTTCCTAAGTAGAGTATCTTGCATTTGTCCCTATTGAAAGTCAGGAAGACAATGTTTTAGAACAAAGTTTTGTAAGATATATATTTAGAAAAATTGGAGTATGGGGTTTCAGCACCACAAAAACAACCAAATTAGGGAAAGAACAGGACAAGATGTAAACCTGTATTATAAAATGTTAAAATGTGACACACACACTCAATCCCTTCTTTAATTCTAAAGCCAACCTATAAACCATTCCCCAGAGTACTTGTAAAAACAAAATTTTTACATGGTAGGAATTGGTGATCATCAGTATGACATGATTATGTCTTAGTTCCGAGTGTTGTCTTTGCATTTTACACCTTGTATATTTGGGCTTGAAATACAAAATAGGCATGATTATCTATATTATTGAGCCAAATTAGAGATCACAGGTAAAATGGTCCTTGATCTTCCTCCTTGATCATCCTTTGGTCATAGATCGGTTTCTTCAAGGAGTCTGTATCTTCTGGAATCCGTAAATTTGACTCCATTCTGTAGCAACAAATGCAAATACCTCTTCACAGAGTTTTTGGGTTCAGAGCTTCACAGAACCCCAGGAAGGAGTTTTCAAAGAGGACATTCATTAGAAGAATATGAGAGAAACACTCAGAGGGTGGTAGTGGTGAGGAGAGAATCAGAGAGCAAAACAACGCAGCATGCCAAAACCACAATCACTGGAAGTTTTTAAAAGTAGGATAGATCAGTACCTGTGAGAGGGAGATTTGACAGAGCTAATCCTCTTGGGATGTGGCTTGGAGAGACAGTTCTTCTCCATCTAGAAGAACGCTCTCATTCCTACACAGTACCCAGGGGACTCTACAAACACTAAAACACACATTGGGAGAATTATATGTACTAAGTAAAGGAAGTTAGAACAATGCAACAAGAATCAGACTGGGCTGGCATCAGCACATGGAAAACTTAGGTAGCTGTCAGATCCCATAAGAAACGGCCACATATTGAGTCTCCTCTGAGCCACCCTGGTTCTCCAATCCTAAATCCCAAAGGGCATTAGAGCTGGTATTTCAATATCTCCAATGTTTTGGATGCAGTATCAGTCCAGGACAGAGCATTGAAAGTGTTATTTTGAGTCAGTAATTCCCAGTGTGAGATTCATTTATTTATTTTATTTCAGTTACTTATACCCCGCCCTTCTCACCCCCGAGGGGGGACTCAGGGCGGCTTACAAAGGAAGGCACAATTCGATGCCTGTGTCAAAAATACATACATACATACATAAAAGCAATCAAACAGTTAACAGGTTAAAAACATCATTACATAACACAATAGTAAACAATCTCATGGTCAGTGTTCAGAGTTCCATAAATCCATTCCGTTCCGTCAATTCCTGCCCAGTATCAAGGTCTTTCCTTTAGCTGCCAGAATGTCCAAAAGCCTGGTCCCACATCCAGGTCTTCAATTTTTTTCTGAATGACAAAAGGGAAGTCGCTGATCTAATCTCCCCGGGGAGTGAGTTCCACAGGTGAGGGGCCACTACCGAGAAGGCCCTGCTCCTCGTCCCCGCCAGCCTCACTTGTGATAGAGGCAGGGTCGAGAGCAGGGCCTCCCCAGAAGATCTTAGACTCCAAGGTGGGACGTAGAGGGAGACCCGTTCGGACAGATACACTGGGCATTGAGATACATTGAGTTGCAATTTAAAAAAATAACATTTTCAAACTCAAATTCAAAACACTCTAAGGAATTAAAATGTTCACTACTTTGTGGCGCCATTACCACTTTCTGTCACCATTAGACAGGTCCAAGGGTGGCATGGGGCAGTGGTCTCAATTTGCCAGAAGTTCCTTCAGACTTGGAGCTAGGCCTGCTTGGACGAGCCCTTGAGAAGTGTGGCTAGTAAGATCAGATGTGATTGAAAAAATAGCTACAGTAATTATGGAATTGAGTCTCTGGTCCACCTTATGTGGTTGAACTACAGCCGCCATAATCCCTCACTGCAAACGGTGCCTGGGGCTGATGCAAAAGAAAACACTGATTTTTTATGACATTGGGACAGTGAATCTACTCCAAACTTTAAGGAAACTAAACCTATTTCTGGAGTAGGGGTTAACATCTTGGCTTGCTTCCTTGAAGTTTGGACTAAAACCAGAATGAATTACATGTAAGCCACCAGCCACCACTGAAATG